TTATATAAACCAGTGCTGGAATGATCTGAATCAGATTCAGTCCCACTTGAAACTCCAAATATGTTGTTGAAAAATGCAGCCATTGGGAATGAGTGAATACACATGAGGAATGATTGCAGATGGTGGTGGACTGGAAACCGGTAGCAGAAAAGGCACGGCGGGCCCAGCTTCACTATAAATTCAATTTGCAAGCAATTATGGAGGAGAAGCTTGCTGAAGTGATTAGGCTGAAAGCGCTGCAGTCCATACAGAGAATTGATAGCTTTATGATCGATTCCACAGTTAATAAACTCGAAAAGTTGGTCGAATTTTGCTAATTCATTTCCAGACCTTCATCATCGGTTTTTGCATATTTATGCAAACGCAAAAACGTGTCTTGTGACAGCCCACGATGCGAACGTATGTTTGATTGCGTGCGTGAGTGAGCATCTGTCCGGGTATTTCGCTAAAATTTTGCTAATGGGTTCCTAGACCAAGCCCTATCGTGTTGCCAACTTTTAGCACATCTTGACACCACGGCGAGCACGTGAAAATTTCACCGGGAAAACTGGTAGGTCGGGAAGCAGGTAAGCTAGAGAGCTGCAGTTCTGAAAGGTATTCTTTATCCGAGTGCGATCCGAAGACTTCCAAATCATTTGGTAGATACGTTAGTCTTCAAGTGCAGGCATATAAAAGTTTTGGCGGGAAAATCCCTAACTCAGAAACTAAAATACCCAAGTCATTTTCAAAGAACGTTCATTCAACGGGGAATTTATTATTTTTCTTTATGCAAATTTATGATGATTCGCGGTAGTAAATGCACAAGTTAAATGTAAAGCAACAACCATTCACACAGAACTACTTCAAGTTCAAAGCTTCAAGTTTAGTGCAGGAAATAGTGGCGCACCAGGGAAGCTGTGTGATCAGTGTTTTGCGCAGTCCCATCCAGTGGACGTTTGCTGTTAAGAATTTTCATTATTTTACACTTTGGTGCATGTTCAAAAATAATCAGTAAGTTGTCTGGTTCCCGCTAGAAATTTCACACATCGGTGCATGAAACATAAGTGTACGTAATTAAGTCTGAAACCGCGGGACTGCACTCAGATATGGAAATTCGAAATTTCTTTTTTCTAGTTTTCTGGCTCGAGTTAGTGACTTCCACGTCAAAACTTTCACACACATAAAAGTCTGGCATGCTTGGGAGCTAAATTTGAGTCCGCGAAGTCACTGTACAAGCAGAAAACATTTTCTGAAATCTCAGCCTCCTAGCTTTCTTGGTGCTTGCGGTAACAGCTTTTTTCGTCAAAATTTCACGGGGCTGTGTGTGAAACTAAGCGCAAGTGAGAGCTGGATTTGAATTTGTAGAGTCGCACGTGGGTAAGAAACATACCACTAAAATTTTAGCTTCTTAGCTTTCGTGCCTCCCCAGATAATAATTTTTCCCGCCAAAGCTTTCAGTTAGTCGTACTTGAGAACCAGAGGTATGCGTGGCCTGAATTCCAATTTACGTGATCATAGGGCGAGTAAGGGCATTACCTTAAAATTTTAGCTTCTTAGCTTCTGCAGTTCCCCAGTTGAAAAAATCCGGATGAAATGCACTCGGAACACATGCACGCGCACACACGCGCACACACGCATACACACG